ATGCGCAGAAGGTAAGGTAGGTTACTCCTTCACATATTCAATTGTAGTGAGACTGTCGGCTTTTTGGGCACGCCCACGTGAGAAAATCAACCGGATGAGAATACCCTCTCATGGTAAACCTAAACGACCATTAGCGAAATACACTCATTTGCAAACTAATTTGGTTTTTGCGAGAGACTCACCTGGAACCCCGCTGAATCTCTCGTTTATGATGTTTTCAGGCAACTGAATGTGCTGCACCAGGCCGCCTCATGTTTCAGTCGCTACCATATTCGAGGTGTCGCGATACATGTATATTCGTAATGCACTACTCATAAGGTCGAGTAAAACGGCTAATATTCACACTTAACAATCGGTCCGTATTATGTCAGTAGGAGGCCAACGGTACAATTTTGCCTGTGCGTAGCTATACAACACAGAATTCAACCTCGGGACCCTTGTGCCACTACCAGAATATGTTCTATCCTATTCGTGGTTCACTCAGAAAGCAAATCATCGTTGATTGCGAGAGAGAGAGAGAGAGAGTAATCAAAGCTAGTCCGACTTTCGGTTACAGTTCAGTTAGACCTTGCTTTCTCATTTCATCTCATTAGAAGCTGTCAAATAAAAGAGGATGGTGAACCGACAGTTCAGTCAGATGATACGACTGACAGGGTTATTAAATCGAGCCGGCACTGAACAAATGATCCCTTCGGCACTTTCCAGTTCTCACATTTATCCCCTGTAGGCCCAGCGTTCGCCACCAATTAACGCTGCGTCGTACGGTTCGTGTTTTGACGTCAGAGACCAGCCAAAAGCACCATTTGAATGGCGAGAAGTTCGGGGAGGAGAGAAATCCAAAAATATTCTAATCTGCATACGAATTCGGTTTTATTAAGACTCAAATGAATTCAGCTCAATCTCTCGTTTTTCGACGACCCGTTTCAACTGACTGTGTTGCATTGTCGTAGTGTTGTTGTGGGACGTCTGAGGGTTTTCAGCAAACCTAGTAATATGTTACGTTTACAAGAACACCACATGAAACTTGTCGAAAAGGTGACACCAACGTGGGCAATGCGGGTCGTGGAGACAAGAACAGCGAAACAAGGTCATTTGATGCCGAAATTTTTTAAAATGCTTTTTTGATGTGGGTATGGAAGAGTCGCTTGATATCCGGTTTTCAAAATATAGAATTCCATTTTGTTTGAGATGGATTGGCTTCCCGGACAACTGGAAAGTTGGATTACTGCGGTAGATAATGAACGCGTCGAAGTACTGATCGATCCGCTTAGTTTATCGGTTTTTTGAGCAGGGGGCTCTTGATCTGTTCTCCGAGCATGGTAATCGAACTGCAGAACGTTTCATCACTATACGGAGAGGTGCCATCAATCCGCAGTGAAGGTGTCTCATCCTGTGATGACGAAACAATTGCAAGTCAACTACCAAGTCCGGCAAACAGATCAACAACCAAGACTGCTCCGCAAAGGAAACCAAAAATGAGACCAACTTGATTGCACAATGTAATGAAAGCAGTAATAGTAATAACATAATTCCAAGTTATAGTGATTAGGTTATTTTCATTTCGAAACCCACAACCAAATCGCAGCAAGACGCAGTGCAAATGGGCCTGTAGGCGATAGCATGAGACTTGTGAGTGATGGGTTCCATGTGAAGCAACCAATCAAATTCATTGAAACAGCCACGGGGTGGTATAAAACAACCACTGTCCATTCACGTTTATTAATAGGCTGTGTTTTTACTACTCATATCCATTGCTCTGTGGGCCGGTTTTTGTACTCGACCAAACTGGCATATTGCAACGAGTGACACGTTGGTTTTAACAGCGACAGACCATCAGGGGAGAACGCTATTCAAGGACATCTATTCTTCCAAGGAGGAAGTTCCCCATGAAGAATTGTATGACTGACTGTTCGGGGGCCAGCCGTTCCTAATAACCGAACATCACATCATTTGGACGCATGTGTCACATGCAGGACACGGGCCAGACGTAGGCATGCCCTGATTGGTCAGAATGCCAGCCAATCCGAGTCAAGCACCTTGAGTCGACGGTTCTCGCCCCCTCACGGACATTCTGGCACGACCTTTGTCTCCATAAAGAGCTGTGTAGAGCTACCGTGCCTTTTGCTATACCATAGTGGGCGGAGCAGGAAGCCAAGGGACCGACACAGAGTTGCACTACCGTCCAGCAAGTTATAACACTGACGTTGGTCAAAATGAAACCAATTTGAAGGAGATTTTAGTGAAGTCCCATACAACCGTTTAACATGGTTCATCCGTACCAAGGGACTCGTAATCTGATCTCTTCGTATTCAGACGTGACTGGTCGCTGCTTCTAAAACAATCCTTAATGAAACCCCATTCCGCTTTAGTCTAATGCGCATCACTCATATCGGTCCTGCTCGTTGGGGCACTGACGACTGATTTATTGTGGATCACTCATGAAATGGAGCGAATTCCGTGCCATATAGGAGGTTCCGAGTTCCATCTACTTGGCCTTCAAATAAAGCTGGCTGAACAGGTATTTGATTTCGTATCTTACGGGATATGAGAACGGAATCATTTAGTCGATTTCTGAGCTCGGACGTTCCAAGATTTTCTAGTCAAATCCAAATGATGTCATCCAGAACCCATATGTTCGCATAACGATTACTCGAATTCTATGTTCCTTTCTACCGATTCGCGAGTCTCCGGCGAGGTTGGCACCGTAATTCGTCACATCATTGAAAGAATTCACGTTCTTCACTCGCCATGGACAGATGAGTCGACTCGCTTGAACGCAATAGTGATCAATAGATCAGCCGGTTCGCACGTTCGTTGACTTTTTCTGGTCAGGCCAAGCGCAGCAGGCTACCGATCGGCTATCCGTACCCGGGTTCACGTTAATGAAAAGGCATTAAGGAGACTGTGGTCCACAACCAGGTACTGGAAGGGAGGTTGTGGATCCTAACTGCCATGCCATCCGAAGGGAGCACGAGGGCAAGGACACTGTCAGGTTGCCCAAGCCTGACAGGGGAAAGCTGAGAGCAGAGGCCGCACGGATATTCTGGTCAGTAAATTCGCGCTCTAAACACTTGGACCATCTCGCTCCGCAGAAGATAGTGTTTGAGATCTCAGGAATCGGCATGGTGGGTGCGGTCACAAAACAGCTATCTACAACCGCTACTAGGTCTTTTGAAAACCGCGAGGAATGATACTTAGTATGGGCTTTGATGAAAATCAAACGCACAACGGCATTCGAAGACACAGGGATAACCAGGCCACCGTTCCGACGAGCTACCCTGCACTTCAAGGTCTGTGTTCCGTTTGCAAGTGTTTTTTAAAACGGAAAGGGTTAAGATGGCGAGATAACTTGAAACATGGGGAAAAACAAACACCTAACCATTACGAGAAGAATACACCACAGAAATCCGACCCAAACGACAATCGTTTCAACCTGTTACAGTAACGAAAATGCCCAAGGTTATCATGCGCACAGACGGGTAGTGAGGTGCTAAGAACGCATTGGAACTTCTCCAAACGGGAGCTGCAGACAATGAGTTTTCGAGTGTCATTCTAAGGAGCCAAAGTCAACGCCCATAATCTGGGCTCGGCAGCATGTTCGCTTGTTCGGGAAAAAGTAACCACACATGCAATTTGGTTCAGGTACCTAGCTACCGAAGGAAGCACGAGGGCTGAAGTACTGTCAAACTGCTCCAACCTAGACAAAGTAGTCGAGATGCAGGGGTTGGAATGCAGACCATCCGGTCAGTGACTTCGCACATTAACCACTGAGGCATCTCGAGTGTAGTCTTGCTGATGTGAAATAGACCTCTAAGTTGTCACTGCACTTGCAGATGATGGTTAGTAAATTCGTTCAGCGTTTGAAACGAACGAATGCTGTTTACGGCACCAATCAGCGAGTACACCGGACAAAACCGCCTACTCTGCGGATGATTTTTTCACACTCCCATAACGAAAGGCAATTAGCGCGCTGTTTGATTGCAGCGGTAACAAACCTTCATTAGGCGAGAATATTTATAGCTCATGTTCGATGGTTCCACGACCAGCGCGGCGAAACCAACAATCAACCATATCGCTCGTGGGAATGAAACGATTGCACAGCTTATGATCACAACAATCAGTGCTATGTTGTCGCGAGAAAACCGGTTATTCCGTTCACACACGGGATTTCACAAAACAGACCAAGCCACGTTGGGGAAATGTGTGACGATCTCTAAAGCCTAGAGAATCCCAATCAAGCTAGAAAGGGACGGCCTCGCCGGAAGGACACTTTTTTACGACACAGCTTTACGGGAATGCTTTTTGGTTGCCGAAGAAATACCACGGTAGAAACGCCCTTTACTATTGGTCTAGATCGGCTATTCAACAGTCACACAACACCAGTCGGTCATGGGCAATGTCGCTGGGTCCTTACGCATAGACTTTTATACACAGTCTAGAGGGATGGTATCTTTGGACACGTCAAAGTTGAAATGGCATTTAGGAGCAGTATATTCACAAACGGGCACAAAAGAACTTCCCGCAACGCAAAGTTCATCGATTTGTAAATGATAGCAATCGTTTTAGAAGCTAATTCAGTACGAAAACCACTTGTTTCTTACTGTAGTCTGTCTAGGTGGTGACTTCGATAACGGAAGGTCAAAACCGTTGTACGTGTATGCAACAAGCTCATTTTGATTGATAACCTCTCAGGAAAAAAAACCTCCTTATCCCGATGATGTTTCCTCGCGGACGGGCATGAACCCAAAATAGTTGAGCAGTTGAGGCGTAAAGCTATCGACCAATCTGAGCACAAACTGCCTCCCTACATCCCTCCCTCCCTTGCATCCCTTGGGGTTCAATCATAGCACCGAAAGGGCAGTCTATTAGGTCTGAAGGTCTGTTCAGGAACACATGGGTGTCAACCCAATTGAAGTGCGAGCACCGAAACGCTCTCAACATCTGAACAGGAAGAACTACAGGTGGTTTGGGACCATTGAACAATGGCCACTATGTAGCTACATGGATCGAAAGTAGAGATTTTCCAATCATACAACGTTCATCTTTGCGTCCAGAAAAGTCAGACAGCTGTAGGCCTAGTCTCATTTTGTTGTGGCGGGAAAATATAATTACAGTGACATCAAAGATGAAAAATTAATCGTACAAGTTCGATACATGGGTAGGAGAGGGAAACAGAGGCAAAGCACATAAGGACAGCTCTTCGGAGCGTTCCTGCAAAGGCGAACAAGCAATGTGTAAAATCGATAAAACAGGACTATCCAATCAGATTCGAATGTGGAATGAGGATAGTGACTGATCACCGTTCGATGAATGCATTAAAGTGGTGGCGCTGATGGTTCCTGATGGTTCGTTGGAGGGTTAGCTGTGACCCGTAGAGAGTCTGGGAGATATAGCCGGACATCGGTTTCTCCGGTAGAGTAACTGGCACCGCCAACGCCTCCACTACCATCGGAGGAAGCTGTTTCTCGAAGGGGCCCTTCACGTGTTCTGACATCCGTTGCCCCTCTGCATCCGCTATCAGTCCTCGTGCCACAAGATGGAACAGCTGCATCTACTAAAGGCGATCCATCCCTTTCTTGGCCAGTACATATAACATCCTCGTAGCTTGGGGGTGGTGGTGTTTGATCCGACCCGGGATCTAATGTTTGGCTTGAGGAAGCCACCTGTTCCCCATCCAGACTGAGGGGACGGGCTGGTCGGTTGGAGCGGCGGGACGTAGGTTTGTGAAGACCACGGAAAAATTGTGTGAGGTTGGCGTCATCTTGACTGGCCTCGGAGGCCGGTTTTTGACCAGCAAACTGAATACTAGGTAGTATGTTCACAACATCTTTGTAAGCCGGAGGCAATTCGTCATGGGTGCTAAAATAGGGAAGAAAATGATGAGACTAGTTAGCATGTGTGGAGAACTGGCTGTAGGAAACTAACCAACACGGAGAGAAAGAGTAAAACAAAAGACGGGCAAACAAGGACACACCGACGACAGGGCTACTAAGTATCCAGCGTAACCTGTAATAGAGATAGAAGGAGAGAGCACAGAATCAAAAACTCGTCACGTATGGAGGGACACGGAAGGAAAGCAAACCTCTCAACTAAACTTGATGCAGCTGAATGAGAAAAAACGTTTTACTTTTCCTCACGAACGAACATAACTTCCAGTCAAATACATCTGCGCAGTGGTATACCTTATTGACCGATTAATGCAGCGTATTTGAAATGACAAAAGGGGAGCTGAATTTGTTACTCGGTTAACTAGTCAGAATTCGCTAATTTCAGCTTCATAGACGATCAAGTGACACGAATATGCAAGTTACAGAAACCTAATACGATATGGGATTATTAGTCTAGACAAGTAGTTGTTCCGGTATCATGAGGCTACGCACCAGCAACTGCAAGAGCACTCGGTCTGAAATTTCGTCTCTTATTCGTTGCACCGTGTTAAACAGTTGTTGTACAAATTTACGAGAGATACTCAAGGGTATTCCATGAGTCTTTCTATCCGAAGGTCATACATAATATACCAAATTGATCAGCAGTTAAAACCAGAAAGATTTTGTCTTGGCGAGACACGCTAACCATAAGGGATTTTGTTCAGGCGTTCTCGTTTCATATGATGACAGGCCCCAATCGATCTGCAGTCCAGTGACGTTGCGTCCAATGTAGAATATCAATCAAGAAGTCACATGACTCCGGAGAACATACAGATTAAAATCCAACATAGTGAGCGAAACTGAAATACTCGGCTACCCTAACGCAAGTTTCCTCTTATCCGTGGATCAAGGAGATTTCGTGTACTGATTGCACACATCAGCGCTCATCACTACTCGTGTGTTTCATCGGATATTCGATTTGAATCGCTCCTGATTGACTAACTGTCTGGCGGGCTCTTCAGGCGGCTATGGTAGGCCATTGTTCACTGATCATCTTAGACTAGTACTGAGTGAGTGTTGGCAATTGGATGATCGAAGCCCGAGGCTGCCTGCAGCGAAAAGCCCTGGTGATCGGCTGAAAGGCGGTCCCTTGAATTCGTGTGGCCATTGATCGGCAAAGCACTGACCTTGCATTAGGTCTCATCTTACTTAGTAACCCCTCACTATCTAAGGTAACTTATTCTCCTTCTCAATGAAGACTTCGAAAGACCAGAAGAGCTCGATCACAGTAGGAATCGCCGTACTTCAGAGCGAATAACAGCGGAATAGTTGATCTTCATCGAGTGGATCCTCAGCCGTTTTGTGCCGGGAGAATCTGAATATGTGATTGAAGAATAGATTGGTTACTCAAGTTATACTAACGGTCGTTGGTCTCCGGTCTCCCTGGAGAAGGAAGAGATCAAGTCTCAAGGTTACCCGGACGCCCAACAATTAGACAGGTTGGCCAAAACAAGCCAATACGAATGCTCATCAAGACGATCGATGATCTGAGTTGCCCGACAGTAAGTTAGCTTCTATGCTCGTTTCATAACCGGAATTTCATGGAGTTAGTCGACCTCGGCAACAGAGTTTGAGCCATTAAAAGTTGCAGGCGAAGAACGTTTTTTGTTCCCAATGGAAACAGGGAGAGGTGGGATACGGTTTCTAGGCGTACAACCGTGAAACATCACATCTCTGACCAATAGGTTCATAAGATCCAAGGAAGTACTGTATCTTCTTCTACTGTCCATTAAAATCTAAAACGCCAACCGTCGCGTGGGGCAGAATAAGGATTAATGTGGCACGCCATTTCCCAAATTTTGCAGTCTGAACTACGGAGCAGTCACAAACTACAGGATCCGCAACTTCCTAGTCGCTTTATAGTCTCAACTCTCAAGATCGCCCAGATTAACAAATCGCTAGGAGATGGCTTCACATAAATTCCGCCGCATGATTCATGCAAGCATTGTGGGCCAATGAACACGCCCGGTCCGTTCAGTGTCATTTGAACCTTAGCACTTTCGATCTCGCAATGGGAACAGCTCGTTAGGCAAACAATATACTGGTGCTTTACATTGGATCATCTTCCTTGGCTGGATCGCAACTGACGGCGCTGAGCGAGATAGCTCACTGTTTGGGGCGCCAGCTTACGGACCAGAAGGTCCATAGTTCCAACCCAACCCCAGCATCTCCACTGCTCCTGCCTACGCCTGGGGAACCTGGTAGTATTCCAGACCTCGTGCTTCCTTCTGATGGCATGGCTACTAGACGCCTCCTGCCTCCAGGAGCAAGTCGATGTCAAACAAATGAGGAATACTCGTCAACAAAATGTGCCTATATAAGCTGGTTTTCCTGCCCTGTACGTTTAGAAAGTTTCTCGTTCACTTGGTCACTGTCGATTAGCAGAGTAGTGCGAAAAATTCCGGTCAATTGCTGTATGGGGATGCCTGCTATCAAAACAACGCTACAGGTTGACTCAGGTGGAAGGGATATAAAACCGTATAGATCAACACGTTTTTCACGGTTGACGCGAAGAAGATTGGCGAATGGCAGTAGCCGCTTACAGTGTAGGGTAGCAAATCACTGTGAAGCCATCCATTCACTCTAAATCTCGAAAAAAGTGACGGGTTTGAACATTTCATCCGGCTTGCTTCAGTTTTACGACATTGTAAACCCCAGAAAACATGACATGAAATGATGTGACGCGTAGGAAACGGCTATGATCACTTTCGACCGCGCATTGTTACTCTTAGAGGAACGCAGCTGGAGACGCCACCCAGGGCAACTTCAGCCTTTCAATCAAACAGCTTTCCCGTTCCAAGGTGTGTCTTCATCAGAAGGATAACCAATGGTTTGATTTGTGCTCATGCAGTTAGAGTAGTAAGTATCAAGGTTGTAGTACGCGGGCTGGGACACTGTCGGGGCGCCCAAACCTAGACAGGAGGTCGATTAGGGTTCTCAACCAAAGCCTTTGATGCAAGGCAGCGGTGTGTGGCGGAAAATGCATTTTTATAAAACAGGCGGCCACTTGGCTCGACCATGTGCTACGCATGCCGAAACACCGTCTACCGAGACGAGTGTTGTTCTCCGTGCCTACTTCAGCATGGCATAAACTGCGAGGTGGACAACGTATGACTTGGCAGAAGGGTGTGAAACAGATTACGAAGAGTTTGGGTGTCGTACGCCTCCCAGGATGGGGTCCCCTTTTCAGCTATTCGTTCGAGATATTGCAAGAAATGTTGTCAGCGGTGTTCATGCTGTCAGTTCCCTTCCAGATTGTTTGGTTGAGTGCCTGAAGGTGTAGGCAGCTCAAAATACTTCCGATGGGTCAGCACCAGGCCCCTTCCCTAACCAACAATTTTCTATTCTTTTCATTCTACGGTTTGATATATAATTAAATAAACTTTGTGGTTGTACGGCGGTGAAGCATCAGGTCGACACTGGCGTTGCTGTCTCTGATGGTGATTTGCGCAAACACACAATGACCTCAACCACGAACAGATCAATGCCAAACAAGGTTTGACAGAGGAAGAACATTCGAAATTCCATCACTGCTCAGTTCGAGCGGGTTTGATGTGGTTCACATGATTTTTCCGGACGTGACACTAGTCAAGTACGTAAAGTTGGCTGACTAGTAGTTTTACGGTTACAAGCAACGGGGGATTCCAAAAATAAGGCAGAATAGAAGAACATCGCCATCATCACAGCCACTGGAGAATTTGATAGATCTTGTTCCGAGTTCTCCGACGCTCGGTGACCCAGCCGAATTGACGTGAATATGCGTACCGACCAGGTGACTCGCGATGGCGCTTGTCACGTGAGTGGTGGCCCAGAATCTGGGAAATATCGACACAAGCTCCTCTACCCTCCCAGATAGGCGAACGATCGTTCGATCATCACGGTTCGCGACCGATTAGTAAGTAAATGAACAAACATGAACGGGCACCTTACCTTCAGTTTCATATTGTGAACGTGCTCCATATTGATATGAATCGGTTGCTGTGCCGTATCGAACCTGCACTCCAAGGAAGCGGTCATGAGGTACGCCATTTCAATGTCACTCTAGTTTCGATGGTTTTTTCGACCATTACTACCAGATGTCACCCCAAATAACTCTTTACGAACCGGGTGACCGTTTTCTGTCAGAGTTTCTCACACGAACTGCAGTTCGATATCCGGTTTGTCGTTGTGCCGATCTACGAGCTCTGCAAATAAGAAAGCTTCAAAGACTTCAGCTTTATAATCCACAACGACGAAGTTGTGGAAACTGCTCAAACAATGTAGGTTTTCTGTACACCCGAGGTTGGAGTGATGCATTCTATCATAAGGTAAGGTGTCAACAGATTTCTTGTTTTCAGCAGAAGGTACTAACGTGTGGCCACCTGTCTGAAACACAGTTGACAATGCACTTCAGTAGCGGCTGATCACTCAATAAGAATCTCAAGAGTGAATGACCGGTTCACGATTCCGTCTTGGTTTTTGAAGATACAAAGTTTGCCCAATACATGCTTCCGACCCCCCCCCCCAGTACATACAATTATGGAGGCCAAGACGTTGGTATATACAGATGCATTCTCTGCTGTTCTGAAAAACACATGAGTCGAATGACTCAGCTCCTATCTCAGAAAACCAAGGAGCGTCTACCGAAATGCCACAGAAGTGAGAGAGCCACACGTGACAAGCTCAACCCCAAACCATCTGATCGATAAAGATGAAGTCATACAGTATAGCTTATCAGGAACCACAAGATCCGTCGGTTATTTTCAAACAAAGGTCCGAGACAGCCGAACTGACAGTTCCTCGGAGGAGTGACCTCTTTACTTGTCAACTGTAGGCGACTCGTTCTTTCGACCGACTTGTCACACTTTCTCAAACTGAGTAGACAGGTGTCCTGTATTTGTACCAATGAGAAAGCAACAGCCTACGGTGTTTTAACCTTTTTTCTTTCCTTTGAAGTCCCATAGCCTGATGAGACGTTACTGAAGATGACTCTTTGGAAACTACAAAAAGCGTGGACCCATAGACACACGTGGGAATAGTCAACAAATAACTGATGTGATAAAACCCCAAAACAGTCTTTTGAAATGGTACAAAAGGCGAGACTGCCGTCACTTGGAATCTACAAGTAAGAATATCTTCCACCTACCGTGAAGAAGATCCCGAAGAATTCTACACGAATGGCAGGTCTCAGCGCTGGTGATCTGAGGCCTTTGAACGCCCACTTGCCATTTTTTACTTGGTTTCGGGAATTCCGCGACAGTTACCCGAAATAGCATTCTTCTCGACAAAACTGAACTTGGTGTATGACGCGCGTGAATGATCGATCCACACAAGGCCGTGGGCGTAAATGATTAGAATTGCATGCAGTTACATTAGCATGTGGACAGAAGCGCCTAGAAACGCACTCGTCCTCGGGTTGCACCAGAACCGCCATACGTTTGCAAACTAAAGACCTCTGAGTATGTAAATGTCTCGGCTAAGTGTGATCCATAATCATATTAGTAAGATTAACCAAGTGTTGCCGGCAGCCCACCACTTGGTTCACTCTATGTGGGGGCGGACGGAGCACAGGCGTAGTAACATACAAACGTGTCACGGGTACGGAATTTCACTTTTTCATATGGTTACTATGTTAGAGGTAAGTGAATTCCTCGTCGTTCAGACTGTGGCACGTTTCGTGCTAGAGGCACTGTAACACGACGAGCAGGAGTGGTAAGCGACGGGCTGTACCCCACTTCAAATCAGTGTTCCCCCAAAAAACAAGCCAGGAAAAACCTAGAGCATGTGCGGCGGACTAACGAGCCGCAAAAGCCGTGGGTCAACAAAGTCAGTGAAGGAGCCAGTGATTTTGACCGAAAGGCGTCACGGCAGGAGTTCACTGAAGCCAAGTAGTGACAGCATGTTTTCAATGGAAAAGTCTGTAGGCGAGTAGTTGGCAGTGAGTCGGAATTGCTATAACAGTGCATCAACCGTATCGAGTTAAAGGGGTTACAACACACCGTCAAACAAAATAAACTCTAAAGTCATCATAATTAAGAGTGGATGGTGAACACTGTCCGACGGGGTGGGGCGGGATAAGAGTGGTAACGATTCAGGAGAGCGCCACCAATGATCAACGCTTCCTCGTTTGGGGTCACCGGATACTTGTTGGGTCATTCTCCTGATGTCTTACTTCAATAGTCCAATGTACTTCGAAGGCCATTTTCTATTTACTCTTCAGCTTTTGAATGTCAATGGACTGCTATAAAGCATTACCGTTCATAGTGATGGCAACGATGGTGTTTTCAGGATAAAAACTCGACATCCATCCAGATGAATCAGGGTGGAGGGGAAAACTTGCGTATGCAGCTTCGTGTATGTTTCGAATAATTAGTGCCTACCAGCGCAACCCTTCTCTTGAGGAGCCAGAAGGAAAACGTGTTCACATGGGAATTTACTTCGGTAGGATAATGAAGCACTTGGTTTTGATGAGCTTTCCTAACCACAGTGAGGGGGGGGAATGATTAGAACTAACATGCTTGCTCGTTTTAAATAACTGCGTCAGAATCGTGCCTTAGGGCTCACAATACGGTTCGGTTCAGTTCAGTGAACTGCAAACCGTATACTACGGTAGGGTGGTTTCAGCTACTACAGTTTCACTCACGAGAAGAAAGAGGAAATGGCAGTCACGGAATGCAAACGGTGGACCGATCTGCTCATGAGCGTTAAGCTGGTCTGCGTCGTGAAGATGACAGCTTTAATACACGACTGTCACGTGACAAAAGTGTATCTTTCAACTGATCCATCTGAAAAGAATTACTTTCCCTAAAAGTCACCTCGGTTACCTCAGTATTACGGATACAGTGCTCCCTCAGACCAGCGCAATGCTCCAGAGGCACAGACAATCCAACAGTCTTCGAAAATCCGTACACAGCAGCCACGTTTCACAAGGTAGGGCAGATCGAACTGCTGTAGTGTACACACTTGGCAACCGAATGGACGTCACATTGCCATCACAAACGCCGGAGGTTGGAATTATTTAGGTTACTTAAAATAGCTTGCGCAATATTTATCCAACCACCTACCTGTTTTTGGGATATCTGATTTCGTTCGGATTTTTAGTCGTCAGCTACATCATCGACAGGAAGTATCAAATCTGAAAACCCGCGCATTATTGCTATGAGTTGCTATCAAGCTGCGATACGGTTAGGACAAGCAAATCTGGACAAGAACACGGAAAACATTCTCAGGCAAGTCCTCCGGTCTAGGAAAACTGATCGCACGCCAGCTGCGTTCAGCGATAAAACTCTATCGCATTTCGATTTTGAGGAAAACATCCAACCTGCGGTCGGGAGACCCAGACCTCAGTAGATGTGACAGGAGCCAAAAAGGGTACGAGCTACCTACGCTTCATGGGTTGCCTTTGAACATCACAGGATCATCTGGCTCACAGAGCTCCTGTTACCCAGCTCTGCGTCGATTGCAAAAGACCAACAGACGAGTAGTATATGATCCGACAACAAAGTGTGTGAAAGTGGTAACCGATAAACTCACTCGAATTGGTAGCCACTGCCTCCCTGAATGAGAACCCCAGGACCCAAAATCATCAACAGTTAATATCCGGGCAGACACAGCTCAATCACAAGCACTCTTGCATCAAAGCCACCCTTCCGAATGGCCGCTTCATGGGAACTACAGGGATTTGCTATCAACTACCCGATTACATCATCGTCTTCAATATCCGGCTACGTCTCCCTTGCTCTCCCACTTTTCGGTTACTGAAAACAATGCAGCTGAAGCCTTGATTCTTGGTTGACAGAACGACTGATTAGCCTGTAAAAACGGTCACATTCAGGAAAGATAAGCAGAACTCATGTTTACCGGATGTCGGGGAACTGGGCAATACAAACCGCAAAGTGGTCAGTGAGACAAGTAGGCGGTCCGCAGCACAAGGTGGGTAAGCAAGTCTAAGCAATTGGAATAGTCTAGCGTCAAAGAAGTTGCGTTCATCAGTCTGTACAAGTTACACGCCGTGAAACTGAGTTCATAAACCATACAAAGGTTCTGGTGCAGGTAATCGATGTTTTGAAATGTGTCATCACGCTGTATTTTTCTCATCGGCCTCTCTAGCCGTAGGAATACTTTCCGATGTAAGTAACTAATATGTATGATATGTAGGCGCAGCGATGTAGTGTGAATCAACTCGGTCTGGAATGTGCACAGGAGACCATCGACCGAAGTGGAATTTGCACATTCCACCGTACTGCATAAGCGCATACGGCAAAACGCACTGACCCAATAATCGTGTCTAGAAATGTCCAATTTTGGCACTACGGGCTTTCAAACCTTCCAGAAAGTACTGAAATCCGGAAACCGGTAGAATGAGTCTGGAGAAAATACCTCAAGGGACCAGCTAAAAGTGGCCCACTTTTAGCCCACTCTCCTGAGATCTGGCTCCTCTTGACAGTGGTCTCCCTAAAGACGGTAACTTGAGTGGGTAGGCCATATTCCACAGTATGTGGGGAGTATTTAAGCTGCAACTGGTGGAATGTATACAGCAAATCGTAACCAAGTCGACTGTTGGAGAGGGAAGGGGTTGAAAACGAATGGGGACTACTAACACTTCTATGACAAGTCGTGACAGCGGTGCGCTTACTTCACTGATTCGAATGGGATGACACCCACGTGTATTTTTGTAATGCACTACTCATAAGGTTGCTGAAAACTCCTCGATAGTCCACGACCGGTTTCGCCCTTCTTGGGGCTCATTAGGTGCAGCACATACAGTTGCCTGGAGACATCAAAATCGAAAGATTCAGCTAGATTCCAGATGAGTCTCTCGCAAAACCAAATTAGTTTGCAAATGAGTGTATTTCGCCGATTTCGTGCAATCTGGTTTCAAGTAGAACATAAGGTTGACGGAAACTCGGGGAGTGCGTCTACCTGATGAGCCCCCAGAAGGGCGAAACCGGTCGTGGGCTGTCGAGGAGTTTTTAGCAACCTTATGAGTAGTGCCTTACAAAAATACATATGTATCGCGATATATCGAATATCGTAGCGACTGAAACATGAAGCGGCCTGGTGCAGCACATTCAGTTGCCTGAAAACATAAACGAGAGATTCAGTTGGATTCCAGGTGAGTCTCTCGAAAAAACCGAATCAGTTGGCAAATGAGGGATGACACCCACTTAACGCCCTAGTCGACCAGAACTGAGAAAACTCAGAGTTAACAATTGTTGTCGTAGGATGTACGTCAGTGAAGCATCAGTGTCAACACTGATGTTGCTATCTTTGACGATGATGATGATGATGATGACAGTCAACGATGGATTGCCTGAACAGTAGAAAAACTTCAAAACAAACTGCAAACTGAAACAGGAACGAGAGTGATACTATTTAGCTTATAAAGTGCTCTGATAGGTAAAAGAAGTGATGTCGGCTACGTGGTGGTATGCAGCAAAGTGAATCACAAAGCTCCAACACCACTAGGATGATGGCGAGGCCTAACAAGCACTCACTTGGGAGAAAACGAGTATAGTGCTCTGTACTTGTAAGGAACCTTCAGGGTTATATGCCGAAAGGGGTTTTGAAGTGAAAAGAAGAACACAATACAGAAATGAGTCACTTGCTCGGTTTCTGGCTGAAATTACGACTGATTATAATCCGACCAAGGAAGATTCGTAAAGCGCTGTTCTGTATCAGTTAGGGCCTTTATATCGCTGCACGTGAACGGCGCTAGAGCATCAACAGTTGAGCTAACCACTTATTTTCAGCCGGAACGATGAAAGAAACTAACCAAGTCTTCTCCACGAGGTAACTTGAATACTAAGAGAATGCCAAAAGGTTCGGCTGACAAGCACAAATGCGCAGACGCTTCAGGTCATTGCAGGGCATACAAGACGGTGACAAAAAGACTGGGTATATTCGTAACGATTCATGCGCTAATTACTCACCCAGGTCGGTCACCTCCGTCCACCGGATCTACGATCGCAACTTCCAGCTGTCTGTCAGACGGTGCATCTCCTCGGTGTGAAGCCTGCCCGGCTCGAGATCGGAATCTACGTCCGTCTGGACCGTAGTCTGATTGTCTGCGCTCAGAGACACGTGAGGATCGAGAGAATGTCTTGATCATAATTCGAATAAGCCAACACATGAATAGGATGAGTACCACACCTCCGGCAACACCACCGACTATTTTGTAGAGTTGGACCGGACCATCAGCCAGTGGATCGCAGACGGAAAGTGGACGAACATCCTTGTTGGGATCCTGGGTCGGGTAGATTGTTTCGTCGAAAACACACTGGGCACAGTAGATTTCCTGGGTGTCACCTAAATTCAAATGATCAAGGGATTTGGTGAGAGGAAATCAACAAGCTGTCCGGTAGTTTGGCCCTTGCCAAAGCGCATAAATCACACGTTGATCGAATACTCCAGTAGGGCAAATGCGTACTTCGTAGGGCCAATTTGTCAGAGTTTAACAAGCATAAAGAGATATGACAGAGCAGTCTTGTGCAGTTGAGCAACTCACGTTTGTATGGAATAAAAACCCACCATCGTCCTGTGTTTGGCTGACATTTGACGTGGTCATAAGGAAGAACCACATGGTATCTGTGGTTCGCGCAAAACTGACAGTGGTGTTGTGCGGCACCTAGTGTGTATACAGAGCCGACGGGACAAGATCAGCAAGCACGCGCTTTCCTGATGGGGAATTTCACGCTGAACGGTATGAAAGACACCAAACGTAGTAACACACACACACACAAACGTTTCACCTGATTTTCTGCTGTTGTTTATTCTGAGTCGTGAACTTATGGGTGGATCTGTCAAGGTCCAACGTTATATTGTAACAGTGCATTTTGGGACGGACCATTGTGGGCACACTGACCGCTAATTGAGTTCACTTAGCCTGAGGCCGGCGTTTTCGAGAGGCCGCGTCGGTGCTCACATCCCCGAACGATCGTCAGCCGAACCGAACCGTGAAAAGCATGTATGGGTATGTCTGTGTCTACAGACCAGAACCAATCCACGAGGTTTCATTCCTCAGCAATTTAGACTTGACTTTTGGCAGACTGTAAAATTGAACCTTCAACCGAGTAAAGGGCGTCTAACACTTTTTTTAAGTTCCCTATGGGATTATCATTGAAATTTACCCTAAGAATAAGGGATATTAAACCCAGGCCGACGAGGTCACAAAGGAGGGAACCCTGCGCGTTAAGAAGTAGCACATTCTGTTCACCAAACACCCTCCCATTGTTCATCACAACTATTGACAAGTTTGTACAGTGATCTACTTTGATAGAAATTTAGGATCAAGAGAACACAAACTGTGCATCAGACTGTACCTCAGGCCAATGTCGGGCAACCATTTCAGGGCCTGTTGTGGTGATCAGCCATCAGATGAGTAAACATATAACATCTGCGTTTGCGTGAATGTACTTATCCATAGGTTACACCAAACGTATGAGGTTCACCTCATCTTGCCATTTATGACCAGAGACAGACACGCTTGCTACCTGAGATGTACACTATGAGTAGTCATTCGGGATTCCGGGAGCTCATTTGTTGAGGTGATCGCAACATGATTCCTTGAAGTAGGGAACAAAGACCGAACCGACAGCAAGGATCACCACCATTCTTAAATCGGTGGGCTGAATACGACAAAAAAACTTGTATATATATATATATATATATATATATATATATATATATATATATATATATATATATATATATATATATATATATATATATATATATATATATATATATATATATATATATATATATATATATGATGTAGAAAGCAGTCTGACTGGTATGAGCTAAATTCAAAATTCCGCCCCTTTTCAATTCACTTGAATGATATGGAAACATGTTATTCATATCCCGTCTCCATATGGTGAGAACGAAGGAATTCTTAAACAATAAAGTGACGGAATCAGTTGTGCGGCAAAATAATACATCAAGGCCACTCCTTGGGAAGCAAAGAAATGCATGTCACAAGCTTATCGATTGCCGAGTTTATCCTGTAAGAGTGCTAAGCGGCCGGTAAACGACCACCACTATGAGTTGTTTGCATTGTTCCGAGTTAGATACTAAGCAAAAATGGCGTAGTACGAGCTACTGACCAAGTCTGACTAGATAAAAAAAAGTCGCACGATCCACTTCCAATCTTCATTAGAGGGTGTGGATTTGTCACCGAATTATTAACACGGATGAAGGACTAATAGTCCGCTTGTGCATGCAGAGATCGGGTCGGTATGCAACACTCCCTAAAAATAACATTGACCTGATTAGAACGAAATTCCTCCACATCAACAGTTTATCATGTAGTTCAAGTGACGATAGTGTGGCCGATGTATCAAGTGATCGGTAAGTGCAACTCAACCGATTCCGTCTGAGTTAAGCAAAACGGATCCAATTCTAGCCCGGTTGGAGTATGGTTACCATTAGCACATAAAAGAAACGGAAATACGAAACCACACTAACCAAACATTGTCACTCATGCAATTGACATGGTTCGTACTGGCTTTGCTGGCCGGTTAGTGGATCGGTTTGTTCTGTCTATTGTTCAGCTGTAGCACCCTTCCGGTGCCTAGCTGCCATGCCACCTGAAGGAAGCACGAGGGCTGGGATACTGCCAGGTTGCCCAAGCCTAGACAGGGGAAGTCGAGAGGCAGAGGTCGGGTTCAAACCACGGACCTTCCGGTCAGTAAATTCGTGCTCTAACCACTTGAGCTATCTCGCCCCTGTCGATGCGTGCGGTTGAACATAACTCACGCACACATATGTTGCCTTACTCAGTGGTCTGATACACGGAGCAAATTTGCCTGTAACGACTCCAGTCGGCAAGCGAAAGACTTTTAGCGAAACCGGAACCCTTCACACAGCCTGTAACGACTCCAGTCGGCAAGCGAAACCGGAACCCTTCACACGGGTGAACAACGAAGTGCTAGAAGTGAACAAGTAGCGTGGTGTAAGGGGTACAGAGGAGAGCTATCTCTTTTTTGGGAGAAGTCGAACGAATAACATTCCCCGCTGCCGGTTGCATAGTTCCATTATCACAGAAAGCTGTGAGTGAGAGCTATTCATATGGCTAGCTAGACCACCATTCCAGAAGAGAGCAACACAGAGTGCCTCATAGGACTCATCTTATGAGCAGGGACCAACAGTTGTTACCTGGAAGAAGGAAACTTGAAACCCAAAGTGTTTCGAATGATATAAACAGTTGTGTCGTCCACAGGGTGAGTACATAAAGCAAACGACCCGGGAAAATTGCAGCTCTGCAGGTGAAAGAGCTCACGAGCACACCGGAAACAATATTCATGATAAAGGTCAAAAGGAGCAGAACAGTGAAGGAAAACTGCCTACTTACGTATGCATTTATCTCGCCCCAAGGGTCCGAGGAGCCCCAAAATGGATATCGACTTGCATTTGCAGAACCGATGTCTACGTTTCATCGGTGTTCGTTCTCGTTTGATTCCGGAACGCACAGATTGGACCACAGCAGTCCGTATAACTTTTCTCGACCTCTCCGTTGGCTCGACAACACAGTATGCGGCTGGATCATCTTCCTCAGCCTCTGATTGCTGCGGATCATCTCCGCCCACTCCCTCTTCATCGTACCAAGATTCCGCGAAAGTGAATCGACTACGGCAGTTAACTGGCGCGCAGCGGCTCCACTCGGACCATTCGCACCAATTGTATCTCAACAATGGATTCGACTCTGCAGCGGTAGTCGAACATGGCAATAGCTGAGATGAGAAGTGGGAAGCCAGTAGCAGAACGACAGGCAAGGTGATCACATTGCGTGTGAGATCAAAGACTATACAACATCCATGAAACCGTCCATTGAAGCTCGCACAAGCAAAGGGTGCTGTCCACAGAGTTAGCATGAAACGAGGATGGACATCGGGTCTAAAACGAATGAGAAAAGAACATGAAAATAGCAGCGAAAGTCCCCCTCCTGTATCGCCACCTCGCCTGTACTGCGTAGCACCCACTATGTGCCATACCGGACAAACAGAGCAGTTTGACGTAATGAACAGATTGGACTGTCAACCCCAATGCGTGGCTCTCATCCCCTCTTCCTCCTTATCCTCGGTAAAAGAAGCTAAGCAGCTGGAACCAGTGCACTTCAGCACACGGTTTTTTTTAGCTAAAAAACTGAATTGATCTCGGACGAGGTAATACTGGATCTACGCAATGAGTATCGCTGAGTTATTCACACAGATCAAACTCTAATTTGGCCGAATTGGTGATATAATAATAATCGCTTAGCTGTAACACTCCTTCTGTTGCCTGGCTGCCATGCCACCTGAAGGAGGTATGATGGTTAAGGTACTGTCAGGCAGCCCAAGCCCAGACAGGAGCAGAGGGTTCAGACCCCAGGTGTGGGCACCTGGCATGCTTGTGCCAGGCAAGCAGTGGGCTCCCTCCCTGCCCCATATTCTTCCCCTAATCCAAATAAATTGAACCATTTCTGTTCTCATCTGGTGTTGCTGTCAACGATAATGAACTGTCTCGTCCCTGGGAGACGGCAGTTACCAAAGTGACTAGGTCAGTTAGTAAGGACCTTTATGCCTCGTTGCTAAGTGATGCCTGGGGGTAATCTCCACCAGACACAAGCCTGGCGAAGGGAGCTATGTGAAGCATACGGTCCTCTGGCATGTGAAGTACATGACCTAACCAGCTAACTCATTGAGTATGACCGGCTGACTTACTGAGGAAGAGTTAGCCATTCTGAAAATGAACCAACGCATTAAAATAGCTCAAGGGGAACATCTGTTGCGATGTTTTGTGTAGTAATCTATCTCCCAGGGGCGAGACAGACCAAATGGTTAGAGCGCAAATTTACTGACCGGAAGGTCCATGGTTCGAACCCGACCTTTGTCTTTCGACTTCTGCTGTCTGGGCTTGGGCAACCTGGCAGTATCCAAGCCCTCGTGTTTCCTTCGTGTGGTATGGCAGCTAGGCACCGAAAGGGTGCTACAGCTGAATGATTATCTATCTCCTAAAACGTCAAACTTCACCGCGGAATCCAAGGTAAGCCATGCAGAAGGATTGGCATGTGAAAACGTGAACGGATGCAGTGATCAGAGGTAACAACATCGAACGACCGTCGGTTGAGGCAAATAATAGTTCAGTTGTACCAGCACCTTTCTGTGGACAGCGGTCATGCAACCCGAAGGAAGTAAAAGAATACTGCTAGGTGTCCCTTGGCTGCAAGGGTGCGTGCGCTTCTGTGATGTTATTAACCACAGCTACTGAACCGGGTGGACTCCAGAATTTCCTGACCATAATCCGGTCCGTATACTCACATACTTCTGGGAGTGAGTGCACGGAGAGCTCTCCAAAATGTGGTGTCCAACAAGGATGTCCACACTCTCCGTTCTCGATCAACTTCGTCATCGATGAGGCGAACGCTGGATCTTAAAAACCCTGCTGTTTAAATCGCCGCTGAAGAGAATCTTGTCGCAGACGATATCGTCTTCATTTCTGAAGACGAAGGTTGTTAAATGAACTGACCACCGTTACACAATCTTTCGGCACCTTCCAAGTGTGAAGTCATGCCTCATAACATTCAATCTCTAAAAAAGCCTTGCAATTCAAGGAGAAGCATTGGAGTTTGAAGAACATTACATCCTTCAGTGTTATTTCTGACGGAAGTGCCTGGTGAAGTCAATGGACGAAGCTCAAAGGCCCGAATGGCGTTTGCTAATTTGCGTCACTTGTGGCGTCAAAAAGGACTATCACTGGGTCACCAGGAGCGCTACAGTGAGGGGTGTATAATCGCATAATTACGAGACCACAGATGCTTCAAAAGCGGTATCGAATGGCGACAATGGATCTGCTACGAGGTACTCCAGTGGCGGAAAATATCCGGCACAATCAACTGCGGCGACTGGACTTTATTTGAAAAAACTTTATTGTGAAGAAGAGAATAAATATGGATGGGGAAGGGAATTAGTGCTGGCTCACCACAATCATTTCCAGGTACCTACACTTCCAGACATTCACTCACGCAACCTGGATAGAAACTGATAACAAGAACTGGCATCAGTTGGCAGCCATATTTTGTAGTGTCTCCAACCAGGCACAATGGGGATCACGCGGTCCACAACCTGGAAGGCGAGTAGCACCGACAGCCCCCAAGCGTTTCGTAATCTCCTTCGTGCCCCTCTACCAAGTCAAGGGTTGGCCATCTCTCTGCTTACGCCACTCTGAATTAGGCATGCAAAACAGCACTCTCTCCGGCTAACGACGGTTCGGCATAGGCAACACATGTCCCAACCAACGCAGCTTCTGGTACTGCACATATTCTCCTATGGAAGTGCCCGTTGCACAACCGAAAGCGCGCTTTCTTACTGCCTTGTTATGGATTCACCGGCACCACCCCACACGAGCTATGGTTCTGAGACAACGATTGTCCTACACCTGAAGACGCCTCAGTTCCACCGTCCGAACAGCCCAAGTCTCATCCATACAACAAAACAACCCGCACCGTAGCTTGATACACACGTCACTTGAGATTCAGGGATACACCATTCTGACGCCAGATGTGTCTCAAATTAGCAAACGTGTTCAGTGTGGTCTGTCCGACTTATCCAACACGACCAAACGACCATTGGATCAGCAGGCAACGAGTAAGACAGTGCAAGCAACTCCCCCAAACCCTAAGTGGTGTACAGAGAGTGGATAGCAAAGGCCCAGAGATGGAGAAGGCGTTGGCTACCGGAAACATCTGTACCCTATACCAGTTGATACGATTGACTGACTATAGGAAAGCAACTAATGGGGAAGCAGTAAGCAAAGACGGACGAATAAAATGTGAACCTTAATCACCCGTCAAAAGAAGTAAAACTTGAAATATCTACCCAGAAACGTGAGAAGGCACCAGAACCGGTTTGTATCCAGACGGAGATTCCGTGTTGATCCACCTGACAAAACTAACTGATGCGATATGGAGTAAAGAGAAAGTGTTCGCAGAATAGAAGACGTCGAAAGCTATTCCTACCTTCAAAAAGAGCACCAGGACGCTGTGCGAAAACCGCTGTGGTAATAATGTGCCAGCTGTGGCATCGAGGGTGCTCTCCGGTGTTAGCCTTAAGCTGGATTACGTCCTACATCGATTGTATTTTTTCACCCTCTGACAGATTCTGGAACAACGATACTGAATTCAGCAACTAATGATAGTGTTCTTCCTTGATTTGAAAGCCACCTTTAGTTTTTCGGACTATCAGACACCAAAACAATGTCCGTGGGGCAAAGGTAGCACCAACAAATCCTTGACCCTCATGAAGACATTGTACACCAACTCCTTCGGACTGGTGAAGGTCTACGGGAAGCTCCCACATGAATTCACTACATCAATTGGTGTCAGGCAAGGTGTCCGCTTTCGTTTCTCTCTTTAAATTCGCGGCTGACGCGATTATGGAAGACTCACCACCAGCATCTAATGGCTGTGGGACAGAAATGCTGGCAGGGCATTTGCTCACAGGTAATGAGTACACAAACAACATAACTCTTCTTGGATCCGTCGTAATCCAAACAACATTAAATAATCTATATAATTCTACCTCACGGTTCGCTATGCGCTGCTAAGTGTAAAGTGCTACTGCAAGACTGGGTGGACTCGAACCCTGGTCTTATGCCTGCGGATGAACCGACTGAGGTAGTAAAAAAACTGTCTATATGGGCTGCTCCAGTCACGGTGGTCTAGGTAAGGACGATATTTCCATCCAGAATGGGAAAGTCAGAGTAGCTTCCATAAATCTGCATCGCCTGTGGCGCAGGCGCGATAGCAAATCACCCGTCAAAGGTCGAGTTTGCAATGCTACTCCATATTACTACACGGGTCAGAAACCTGGTCGACGTCAAAAACTGTCTGACCATCGAAATCTTCGGAGCATTGCCCGAGTCTGCTGGGGACACGGGATCAGTAATACTGAATTACGTCGGAGGGTCTTCTGAAATAACTCATCTTCTATAGATGAAATGATCACGCTCCATGGATTGCGCTGGTCTGGTCACGTGCTCCGTATACCGGTTGATCGACTACCTCAAACACCCCGTTACCCACAACCAGGTGAAGTGTGGAGACGAGCCAGGAGAGACCAAACAGTGACTTGGCAACGAATTATGGAAACTATTACCAGGAAACTCAGCTGCGCTGGTCATTTCCATCCCCCTGGATGCGGACCACGAGAAGGGACACATCAATGGTCTGATACATTGTCAGAAATGATCCAGTCACACCTTCAATGGCCCTCATAAATCCGAGCTGTTGCCTTCAGTGCATAGCTCGCCTCCCGATCTCCCCAATGAAAAGTCCGCTGACGCCATTGCATATACGCGTCGATTATATCAGCTACCGCGTCCAATGCGTAGCCTTCCTCAAATCACTGGCGAACGAAAGTGTGGTAGCTATAAACATTCTAAGGCAAGTACGCGGATTTTACAGCGCATGATGACGGTGACTCCAGGATGCATCCAACAGGGGTTGGAAAGAAGGCTGATAGTAAATCCGGCATCCAGCATCGAAATCAAGGCAGCAGGACCTACTGCATCCGGGGATTAAGTCTCCTAATTTGTACTGTGTGCTCCTATTTTCCTAATTTGCAGCCGACTAAAGCACACAAGCCACGACCAGTTAACTCTGTGCGACTCAGCTGTCCGTGAAAGCAGCAGCCACAGCGATTGAGACTGAAGTTTGTTTGTCAGTAATGACCGGCAGCCTTCTTTGGGTGGCCCAAAATGATATGGATGTTACATGATATTCGAGTCTCCGGCGATCCTCAGTAATGTGGATCTAGCGCCTTTGCCTAAGAATGAATGAAAGTGGACCCGAAACGGACCCTGTAAGATCCGGCTAGCAACCACACACCAAGAGATACGATCCTCAGTAATGTGGATCTAGCGCCTTCGCCTAAGAATGAATGAAAGTGGACCCGGAACGGACCCTGTAGGATCCAGCTAGCAACCACATACCAAGAGATGCAGACGCAGTTCACTCCGACTAACGAGGTCCTTTCCAGGAAGGAACTCGAGATAACTCACTGATTAAGGTGTGAGTGGAAGGTCCGCGCTTCGAAGCCAACTTCAGCATTGACTGCTCTTGTCTAAGCTCGATCAACCTGGAAGTACCTTAGCCATCCTGCTTCCTACGAGTGACCTGCCAGCTAGTCACCTAAAGGGTGTTACAAATGAAGTATTTTCTATTTCCATGGAGTTGTCTATCCATCCGAGTTCCTCACCGATTACAAACTACCATAAGCTGTGAAGCAGTACGGTGTAGTCATCGCAGCATTTGCAAAGTAGAAGGTAATGTCCACGAGGATCAGACTCTCCCTCGCGAGTAGCCATCCATCGTTCAGCACCCTTTCGGTGCCTGGCTGCCATGCTATGTGAAGGAAGCACGAGGGCTGGGATACTTCAGGGTTAACAAAGCCTAGTGAGAAGTCGGGTTCGGATTAAGGACCTTTCAGTCAGTAAACTCGCGGTTTAACCACTAAGCCATCTCGTCCCCTCGCAAGTAGCAGTTTGCGAGACCCGCAGCCATGTTGTCCTATGCCTTAAAACTCATTCGGCTGTGACATCCTTTAGCGCATAGATGCCATACAACTCGAAGAAAGTAAGGTGGTCGATATATCACCAGGGATGTCTGAACCTAGGAAAGCACGATCAAAAGGCCAGGTGTGGGTTCAAATCGTTGTCCTGACCGCTGAGCCGCCCAGACATCAGCACATGAAGGTTCGTTCATCCAATCCACGATAAGCATTTTAGGTAAAACAAACCTCAAGCAGACTAAGTGGCGATTGTCTGGTTGTATTTTGCCCCCTTTTAACGGAACGGTTTTGTGGCCCGTTTTCGATTTTTGGGGAATCTTCCTGGTGGGCAGTGATACTTGGAGGTTTTAAAGCCGGTTTGGCGATGATTCGTGCCGGTTAAGTACTGATAAAGACCGTTCGACCTCCACATATGTTGAGATAGCTCAACAGATGTTCGACCTGGGCCATGTTGCAAGTGGTGACTGAAATAGTTTAGGGTGCCACGTATGAAGTCTGCATGCTGTCTGCCAGTTGTATGAAGGATGGTGAGCGAAGAGCTGGCTTGTATCCGTCGCATTTAATTTTCTTTCTGGTATTAATTTACACAGGATGATGGATTATTGGGAGAAACAGATTCGTGAAAACTAAGCTGGATTTCGCCTTGACCAAGAATGTATCGACCATATGTTTACCTTGAGGCAAATTCTTGAACAGCGGCACTCCTTCAGACGTCCCATGTTGGTCGTTTTTCTTGATCTGATAGCTAATTTTGATTCTGTTGATCGTCAGAAACTTTGGCAGTCTGGCGATCAAAGGCGTCCCTCCCAAATTTATATCCCTTATGAGGGCACCGCATGCGAACTCCTGTGGATGAGTACGATTATACGAGGACCTTTCGCCTGAGTTTATCACGTTCAGTGGTGTAAGACAAGGCTGTCCTCTCGCATATTTCCTTTTAAATTTTGTCATTCATACGCTGCTTGAAATTTATCTACCTGCCTCTGAAACCTCGGAAGTCGAAATGCTCCCGGGTCGTTCGCTCACAGTTAAGTATGCAGACAACATTACTCCCCTTGGTTCAGATCCTTCCAAAATGCAAACGATTTAAAATAACTTAAATAACTTAGCCGCATGGTTTGGCATGCGTTCCATATCTGCAAAATGTAAAGTGCTGCTACAGGACTGGGCGGGGTCAAGCCCGAATCTTATCCTTGCAGACACGCCAATCCATTTGGTAGATAAATCTGTTTACTTGGGCAGCTATATAGGTTCCGGTGGACTGACTAGAGATGAGATTATTTCTCGAATCTGAAAAGCCAGGATAGCTTTTGCCAACCTCCGACGTGATGATAATTTTACGGTTCACCACCTTTGCCGACCGTAGCCACCGGTGACACGTTTACTGAGATCACAAAGACAATTAGTTAACGCCGCCGTAACCGAGAGATGCGTTTATGGAACGGTAATTCCGTGGTTCTGTACGAAATGAAATGAGGCTATCACGCGGCTACGTAACGGTCAAACGATAAAAAATACGGCTATACGGGTTATATCACCGGTATTCAACGTCCAAACGCAGCTGAATAACGGCTACTTAACTGTTCTATAACCACTGAAAACAGCTATCAGCCAGTAAAAAACGCGTTTCATAGTTGGTATTTAAATATTTAAATAACCACAAAAAGGTTATATGGTGGCTTTTGTGGTGCAGGTACCAACTACCGAACCCTGCTTGGTGATTACTAAGCCGTTATATGGTACCAACTTAAGACCCGAAAACTTCGGGTTTTCTCGACTGCTTACGCTGCTAGTCTAAAACGATGTAAAATAATAATAATAATAATAATAATAATAATAATAATAATAATAAACACGAAAGTATTGTTCATTCAGATTATGGAAATCCATCCTGCACGGGAAGTATACTTCCCCGCTTCTGTTCACAAATGAAAGTTTTCCCCATTTGATTCTGCCTCACAAAGAGGCGATGGAACAATGGAGGTTACCAAGGCGAGTGCGCAAAACTGATTGTCCCAAAATCACCTGAGAGTCTTACGTAGAAAATTCTGTGCAACTGGTCCAAGCTCAAAACATACCCCGGATAACACACTAAACGACGCAAGATCCGTAGTCCGTAACGGGCCACATTAAATCTTGTGCCCCATTGGTCGAAAAATCCATACATATTGCTGCACAAAGCCCATCCCTATCGCCGCGCCCTCGAGGCGCAATGCTTTTTTCCGCAAAGCGTTCGCGAGTGAAATAAAGTCTTTCACTCCATTTTATTGCATATGTGCTTAGACCTAACATCGTCTCAATCTGCGGTCATTTTCCCGCGGTTTGTTTTAATTAATCCCCTTTCTAAATTTTTGACGCACAACGGAACTTGCTAGGCTCCCGGTATCCGCACAATGGAATTGAAATTTCGAAAGCCATGATGTGTCTTTCATGGACTACAGCAATCGGACAGTTGAGTTGAGAGTACCAGTTCACATGTTTAAGCTCCATTTATAAACCCCGTAGCCTTAGCGATACTGGGAAATTGTCCATAGGACTTTTCAGCCAGAGACATGGCTACCCCAATGAACAATCAAACTTGGTGAGCCGCAAAATTATAAATGCCACTAGCAGGGTGTTTGGTTTGGGCACATAACAAAAAATGAAACATTTTGGCGCAGGAATTTTCACTCCAGTTAAGAAGGTTTCGCAGCTGAGAGCATTGTGTGAATAATTGGCACCAAATTCCCGTGCTATGGCTTCAGAAATGGCTTCACACATGTTTGCTTGAGGTGTGAGGCTGACTCACTTTCATCTTTCGCGGCATTTGAGAAGGCCTCAAATAAATACATGAAGAATAATTTTGTGACATTCGGCCTTTCATTCAGTAATCCAGCACCAAAATTGTGTTGCGTTACAATAGGTGTACCACAAATAGAGCATGCCGCCAGTAAGACAAGTAGAAATCGACGGATGCCAAGAAGCCGGTACGCTGAGTTTATCTCATGATAAAAAGCCGTGCGCGAACTACCGGTAGCCGGGTGCGGCTTTGCTTGAGGGATCAGAGGAACCGAGTCTTACGTTCTTTAGAATGCAGTCAGCCTAATGCACTCACGCTTTCGTAACGGCTGAGCTTCTTTGCCGTAGGTTCCACCATGCTGGGAAGGCCAGCAGAGAGCGTCTTGACGAAGGATGGCGAATCCCATTATCGCAGTATTACGAGGCATCGTATTAGAGAGCGGTTTCAAGGAAAAGCCGTATTGTATTCGGCGATAGGAATGTAAGGGCGGTAAGGAATTCTGCGCAGGCGACCAGCATGCTCAAATATATGTGAGGAACAACACTGCTTTCCCTCGGGGGAGAAGCGGTCAGAAACGGTCGGCCCTAAACCCAAATCTCTGTTTGCATGACGATTCAGTGCAACCACGGACGTATTATTTGGTGGAGCCGAAGTGCAACTAAAAAGTGGTGGTGCTTCTTAAAGGCATATGTTGCAACTAGGTGCATTAGGAGAGAAGAACGCTTTAATCCCTGCGTAATTGGGCCAAGTTGAGTAAAATCAGCCAAGAGAATACAATAGGAAGTGAGTAGGATCCGGTTATATGTTTCCATGAATTGTTGCCCACAACATTATGTTTAAGTGGGCTTACATTCAAGGTCACCTAGCACCACCATCCACATGTGCTTACTAGTTTACGAAATAAAACACAAAATCGGATCCTATAATTTCAACGTTTCGCAGCGCTGATTAGCGAATATTTAGTGCAAACTCCACCCATGTGGATGGTTGGCCAAAGTTTGTATGCGCTATGCTGGTCGGGCGTAACAGATTGGATGAGGTTGTGCAGTGGACTTCGGTGCTACAGTGATTTTGGCCAGCTTGTCTTGTGTTCAGTGTAATACTGGGGGGAATGAATTGCACTTTACCACAATTTTCCGACTACTCAGTTTTTTCAACCCACAATGAACGGTTCTCCGGGAGTTTGTTGAACCCGTGAACTTATGTTGGATTATGTGCACTGCATGCATTTCGGCTTAGCCTAAGGTGTAGCGTTTTCCATCATACGATTTCCGTTGACTCATACGGTTTCTTCATGCACGCAGTGCGAAGGTCAACACAAATCAGTGAAACATAGATCTATGTTTCAGTAAACACATGGCCGCCGGTGGCCAACGATGGATATCGGTGGACAAATGCGGCAACATTTTACAACGTTGTTACCATTGACAGTCATCATCCACAAAATCCGAGTACAGTATTTTTTCAATTAAATGGCTCCTGGAATTAAGGAAAACAGAATGCACTGGATATTGGCTCTCTGGGTAAAATGTCATTTTTGAAACTTTCTTGTTTTATTGTACGATCGGTTACCTGTCGTTCATTGCGTTAAGTCCGGCTCTCGCTGGCTGAGTCGTCTTCGCTGGTCCGTTGGTATATTTCGTCTAATTTTTGGATGGTCATCAATAAGTGTAAAAGAAATGCACCGAACTTGGGTGACCAATTCTTATTTCTGAAACTATTCCTAGGATTATCGAAGCAGTGCAGCTCAAAGAGAAGGCGTTATCATTTCAGAAGGCGGAAAATTTCTTTTGGAGTCTGTGTACTATGTGGGTGCGGCAATATGTGGGAACACCGGTACGGGTGTAAAAATTCGGGAAATGCACGGATTATAAGCTCTCTTGCAACACAGTCCGGTAAGGTGATTTAGAGTGGGTTAATAATATGCTCGCTGTGTGACTGTTCATTCCACAGAAGTGGATTCTACGCTATCCACCGCAGAACAGGCCACACTGAACCCTAACCCAACACAAAGTAATTAGTAACTTGGAGGGTATCTAGCTATATACCCCCCCTTTTAGGGCACAGTAACTCCGTCCGTGTGCAACACTATCAAACACTTCGTACGCTTTCTATCGTGGGTGACGTGCGCAATGCTCTGTCACATCTGCTGGTGTTCCCCAAGTAAAATCGTATGTTGCTATTCATTCTGTGTTGGCACCACCCTGATTTGTCAAAGAATCCAACAAGAGTGACGTGTCTTAATTCAGCCCTTAAGTCGCATTACTTATAAATGTTCCGCGCTTCTGTTATTGATGAATTTATTTATATTTCACTGGTATATTACTTTGAAAAATAAAACTTGCCCTTGACCATCGGTCCCAAACGTAGAAGTAAAATTTGCTGATATTAGTTTGTTCATATAACTGTCTCCGTTATATATGTACACAGCTTTCGAGTTCTTGGATGACGAACAGTCTGGGATCGGATGTAAACAGTGGTTTTCCGATGAAAGAACCATTGGTTAGAGGGCCTTTGAAGACTATGAATCCATGGAACGTGCCCCGATAAACAGAGTGCGCATGCCTTCAGACGGCATCATGCGCTCCGTTGTAGTCATCAAGAAGTTTGGTACGCGTTTTCCAAAAAATCTGACTGAGCCTTAACACATCTTCAGGAGCTTCCTCTGAAGCAGCCCTATTCCGCGCAATGCCAAACTGCAGCGACGGCACCACAGATGTAGAGCCACAGGCCTACCTTAAACTGCATTATGGTTTCCATGATAAGCAATTTTCGGTGATAACCGGGCCATTATTCAGAAAACACAATCCAAAATACTCGTCGGCTGGTGTAGATTTTGAGGAACGCCGACTCCGGAGAGCTTCCAAAAGGTTCACTTACTCAACCCCTGCGCGGATCTTATCCTTACCTGTTGAGTAGGTGCGGCCATAATTTTTAAATGTAGTTCGGCTTATGACCGTCGGTCATCCCTAACATCACCACCACCCCCGCGGACCACTGAACAAACCAATGAATATAGCGAGGAAGCAAGCACTTCCGATGAATCCCGTATGCCCGATTACTCAAACAAAAATTTATGCGCATCCTGACTGCGTTTTGAGGTAAACTTCAATCACGTACATCTATTCATACCTAGATGAAATGCGCGACGAGGCTGTCAAAGCAGAGGCCTTCAGAAGTGAGCTAGCCACTCTTGTCGCCTGTTTGAATATGAGAAAACCTCTGATCGCTTGGAAAAGCTGGATTTATGGCCGAGATGTTTAGAGCAAGGCCTCAGTTCGGGTGCGTCCACGAAACAACTACGGAAAGACAGCCTGTAGGAGACCAACAGAATGACCAAAATGAAAGATGTTAATGCTTTCCTGGTCAGATAGTTGAACGCGGACTTCCTCAGTCAGTGGGTACTTTCACCCTGGTCCACACTTTGGGAATAAAAATCATTTCTCTTTTAAGATTAGTCTGCTCTTGCCCGCGCCTGTCAGTCAACAGCGCACTGCGTGTTCCGCATGCTCATAAGTTTGCAGATCATCTGACGTGATTATAGGGAGAAAATAAAAGGCCTATATCATGCACAGGGTTGCCAAGGCTCATAAAGGCTGAAGTGACTTTTTTACAACATCACTTTAGATACGATTTACTCTGTGGCCACGCAATGGATTTCACTGAGAAATCAGTTCAGTCTTGCCTCAAGAGAGTTTTTGATCGAATGCATGGAAACCGGAAGCTGCGACGCAACTGGGCCACCTTGCGGCACACGGAAAAATCTATGATGGTGTTATGATATTATTAATGCAATTATATTCTTGCACTAACCTCGTTATCCTTTGACAATGCAGCATGTTATCGTAAGAAAGACGCGGTTGGTAACTATCTGCGGCGTTCGGTGATAATACGCGTGCCATGAGGTTAGGTGTTCGGGGCGATTACAAGGGGCGATAGAGAGTTGCAGAACACAGGACGCTGTGGTCTCTCCAGATGGGTCGTTCTTTCCATGCTGAAGATTCATCTGGTTGCCAAACTGCAAACCGCCATCAACTGTGCAGTGTCCTTCCTCATATTTGAAGCTCATGCCTTGAAGTGATGTTTAAAATGATGATAAATAAAAACACTGTGCAAGGATACCAAGCACTTGATGATCCACTCTTAAAGGTCTCTTAAGGACCTGAAGGAGAAGTCCGTTCTATCCGGCGCCAGTCGCAACTTGTCAGGTTGGTTAAATGACCGGTCACTCTAAGCCCAAAGCACTTTAGTTTTTCCGCTTTTTCTGTCATCATCAACTCTCGTTTTTGACTTTCTCTTGCGCTGTTTTCTACCTTCCTTTCTCTCCCATTGTAACATTGCGTATTTTGTCACCACAGCATTTCAGATTATCTTCGGAATCTGTGAGT